CATCCCTACCACCCACCCCTCAACCCTACCACCCACTCCTCTTTCCTCACCCCTCAACCCTACCACCCACCCCTCTTCCCTCACCCCTCATCCCTACCACCCACCCCTCAACCCTACCACCCACTCCTCTTCCCTCATCCCTCATCCCTACCACCCACCCTCTTTCCTCACCCCTCATCCCTACCACCCACTCTTCTTTCCTCACACCTCAACCCTACCACCCACCCCCTTTCCTCACCCCCTCATCCCTACCACCCACCCCTCTTCCCTCACCCCTCATCCCTACCACCCACCCCTCATCCCTACCACCCACCCTCTTTCCTCACCCCTCAACCCTACCACCCACCCTCTTTCCTCACCCCTCAACCCTACCACCCACTCCTCTTTCCTCACCCCTCAACCCTACCACCCACCCTCTTTCCTCACCCCTCATCCCTACCACCCACCCCTCTTTCCTCACATCTCAACCCTACCACCCACCCCCTTTCCTCACCCCCTCATCCCTACCACCCACCCCTCTTCCCTCACCCCCTCATCCCTACCACCCACCCCTCTTCCCTCACCCCTCATCCCTACCACCCACCCCTCAACCCTACCACCCACCCCTCTTCCCTCACCCCCTCATCCCTACCACCCACCCCTCTTCCCTCACCCCTCATCCCTACCACCCACCCCTCAACCCTACCACCCACCCCTCTTCCCTCACCCCCTCATCCCTACCACCCACCCCTCTTCCCTCACCCCTCATCCCTACCACCCACCCCTCAACCCTACCACCCACCCTCTTTCCTCACCCCTCATCCCTACCACCCACCCCTCTTTCCTCACATCTCAACCCTACCACCCACCCCCTTTCCTCACCCCCTCATCCCTACCACCCACCCCTCTTCCCTCACCCCCTCATCCCTACCACCCACCCCTCTTCCCTCACCCCCTCAACCCTACCACCCACTCCTCTTTCCTCACCCCTCAACCCTACCACCCACTCCTCTTTCCTCACCCCTCTTCCCTCACCCCTCATCCCTTACACCCACCCCTCAACCCTACCACCCACTCCTCTTTCCTCACCCCTCAACCCTACCACCCACCCTCTTTCCTCACCCCTCATCCCTACCACCCACCCCTCTTTCCTTACCCCTCATCCCTACCCCACCACCCCTCGTCCCTCATCCATCATCCCTACCACCCACCCCTCAACCCTACCACCCACTCCTCTTTCCTCACCCCTCAACCCTACCACCCACCCCTCTTCCCTCACCCCTCATCCCTACCACCCACTCCTCAACCCTACCACCCACTCCTCTTCCCTCATCCCTCATCCCTACCACCCACCCTCTTTCCTCACCCCTCATCCCTACCACCCACTCTTCTTTCCTCACACCTCAACCCTACCACCCACCCCCTTTCCTCACCCCTCATCCCTACCACCCACCCCTCTTTCCTCACATCTCAACCCTACCACCCACCCCCTTTCCTCACCCCCTCATCCCTACCACCCACCCCTCTTCCCTCACCCCCTCATCCCTACCACCCACCCCTCTTCCCTCACCCCTCATCCCTACCACCCACCCCTCAACCCTACCACCCACTCCTCTTTCTTCACCCCTCTTCCCTCACCCCTCATCCCTACCACCCACCCCTCAACCCTACCACCCACTCCTCTTTCCTCACCCCTCAGCCCTACCACCCACCCCTCTTCCCTCACCCCTCATCCCTACCACCCACCCCTCAACCCTACCACCCACTCCTCTTTCCTCACCCCTCAACCCTACCACCCACCCCTCTTCCCTCACCCCTCATCCCTACCACCCACCCCCTTTCCTCACCCCCTCATCCCTACCACCCACCCCTCTTTCCTTACCCCTCATCCCTACCCCACCACCCCTCGTCCCTCATCCCTCATCCCTCACCCCTCATATCTCGTACCCATCACCCATCACCCATCTACCCTCATGGAGATATTGCTCAGGTGTTATATCCCGTAGAAGGCAGTTTTGGATGATGAATAGAAAATTTCACCCTTGTGTCTTTTGATATCAAATATATCAACACTATTCGATAAAAGATTTAAACTTTTCGATGGGTGTTGATATATTATATATCAAATCACATGAGAGTGAGTTTCTCTATATATTCTCTTATATCTGTCCAGCAAATATCCTCACTGACCTCACATTCGTCAGTGTAATTTTAATATCATGATTTATCCTTTCATTTAAAAACTGTAGCAATAATATGACAATTAAGCATAACCTGTTGACAAATAACAGTCCCATGGCCAGGGGCAAGAGATGAGAGGTGATAGAGAAGCGATGGAGTGCAGATCAGACATAACATCCTCGGGCAGGCAGATATGCAGATACTGTCTGTAAGGGTATCCTGATGTCTATAAGAGCCTTCTGTCCTAGATGAAGTCAGTCCTGTCTCAGGGACAGCCTAGACCATATAAACAGGCCTCTTGATTACTGGAGTTGTTTAATGAAGAAATAGCCTGATGTCTATAATAGTAGAGCCTTCTGTCCTAGATGAAGTCAGTCCTGTCTCAGGGACAGCCTAGACCATATTAACAGGCCTCCTGACTACTGGAGTTGTTTAATGAAGAAATAGCCTGATGTGTATAATAGTAGAGCCTTCTGTCCTAGATGAAGTCAGTCCTGTCTCAGGGACAGCCTAGACCATATTAACAGGCCTCCTGACTACTGGAGTTGTTAAGTGACAAATGAGACTTTCATCTGTGGAACTAGAGCCTTGTAATATATTCACTTCCTCTTGATACCCTGGAAGCAAATATAGCAGCACTAAAGGTTCCTATCTCATCATCATGCAACTTAGTTAACTTTTTCAAGGGAAGCATTTAAAGAGGGGGGCGGTCAGGTAGCTTAGTGGTTAAAGCGTCCGCTTGTCACGCCGAAGACCCGGGTTCGATTCCCGTAAAAGCATACTCACTCACTCACTCATTTAAAGAGGGTCTGGTGCCCATGTCCCACCTACACTTTGGACATAGTGCCCTGTGAGAACTGCATTTACCTGTTTACAGTGTTATTAGGTAATTAACTCCTGTATTGTCAGGACGCCTCCGTGGTCTAGAAGTAGAGCGTCAGCCCGGAGAGCGGAAGGTCGGGGGTTCGATCCCCGGCCGCGTCATACCAAAAGACGTTAAAAGATGGTACTTGGTGTTACCCTGTCTGGCACTCGTCATTAAGGGGCTAAAACTAGGACTGGTCGGCTCGGAGGCAGTATACTGTGTCTGAGTGGGGTATTCATGTTAAACTGCGGCATGGTATCTCAGTGAGCTAGCACTATAAATCGGCATCAGTCCGGACTAGTACCAGCAGCCACACAAACACAAACACGTACATGCACATGGCTATAAAAGTGCAATAATCTTGGACGTGACGTTAAACCCCATTTCACCTCACCTCACCTGTATTGTCAGGCCACAATCAAACACATCATCAAACCTGTCTAACAAACCAGTAATACAGATATCCACGCATACTCTCATATGCTGTGATATTATGATACGGCTGTTATACCATGATTGGACGGCGACATTAAACTTGTGATATGGCTGTGATATCATGATATAGCTGTGATATTGTTCACTTCATTATCAGTGGTGTGTTGGAGTAGCACTGCTTGGCCATAAGGGAGGAGATATATTGTGATCTCTTTCAACACTGGTACACTGGCCAAGGAGGGTCGAGTCCCCAGACACCAAGCCGTTGTCACGTCAAAAAAGTATATAATTTTCATGAACCTACCTGTCATATCATTCATTTATTAAATCTATCACATTTCACAATGTCTGAGGGGCGGTCGGGTAGCCTAGTGGTTAAAGCGTTAGCTCGTCACGCGGAAGACCCGGGTTTGATTCCCGACATGGGTACAATGTGTGAAGCCCATTTATAATGTCCTCCGCCGTGATATTGCTGGAATATTGCCAAAAGCGGCGTAAAACCGAACTTACTCACTCACAATGTCTGAAATACATATTTCATTTCAATTTATTATTTTTTATCGATAGATTAAAAAATTATTCACTATTTCCCTCAATGTTATTGAAAATAAAATTCTTGAACACACATTTCGACAATGGGTCCACCTTAAACATGTCAAAGAGCAAAATAAAGACATTTCAGTCAAATCTTTAAATATAGTATATACAAAGTGATAAATTAAATCAAGAAAAATATATCTAAAAGTTGTCAAACTTACAGCTAAGTTATTATTTCCATTTCTCAGCTTTCATCACCTCGATTTCTCGGCTCGGACACGATGTTTTATGCCAAAATATATGCATGAAAAGTCTTTGTCACAGCTCGTAACCTAGCACGATATATCCACGAAGCTCCATATTTTTGATATAGATCGCGATTTCCTGCTTAAATTGTTGAGAATAACACGATTTAACCAAACCATTTCGTCAAAATCTGAAATTCATCATACACAAGGACAGTACTATAGCTGTAATTTGATTTGCTGCCTTAGGTCACATGCTCAAATTTGACCAATCACAAACCTTGTAGCAGATTTCGGCAAGAAAGCGTCATGAGAAACCAATTTCTATCCAAAGAAATTGCTTGTTATAAATACGTAAACACTTCAGGCAGATGAAAGAATGAGCTTTCTAGCGATGTGTCATATGTCAGTCTTCGACAACCGTGTTATTCATACAAAGCCTTGAAAATGGGGGGTATTTCTTCATGTTACTGAGCAGACAGCGGCTGTTATGGGGAAAAAGGGTGATTACAGATACTGTTTATAATTTTTTTTATAAATGCTTTTCCAATTACGTAAACAATAAAAATATAAAAAAATATAGGTAAGCGGATTTTATGAAATCTTATATTGCAAAGATGTTTTACAAGCCGATATTTCCTTGATAAATGTTGGCTTCATCTATCACACAAGAGTCTCTGGGAACTCGGTGTCACAGCAATAAATACTTCTGGTTGACTGGTGTTGAAAGAGTTAATGATTCTGTGTTTTTGTTCCAGGCTTACGCTGAGCAGAATGTGGGAATGTGGGAGTACGGCACAACCATCATGACAGCACTTATCCTCATCATTCTGTTGCATCTTGGGATAGAAACCAACTCTTGGGTAAGTGTGCTCACCAAAGGAGAAAAGGAGGGGTAGGGTCGGTGCGCTTATTAAAACCATAATCAAGGAGTTCCAATTGTTCAAACAGAGATCCAGCAGTAGAGAACAAACTAAGACGTTATGTAATTGTTACCCGACAATTATATATCCCTTCTGTGCTGCTTGTTTCTGAAAGATAAAATACACAAATAATATGTACTGTCATGTACCGGTACATGTTTTGTCTTAGTCCGGGTTGTATCAGTAGAAATTGGCACTAGTGCTATAGCCCTTGCCAAACTGCCCAATAGTTAAGGTATCATAAGGACTAGTAGAAAATTGCCATTTTTAAGGGTTTTGCTATTTGTTATGATTATGACGTCTAGTGTACTAAAACGGTTAGTTTCTCCCGCTGGGTCGTTTATGAATAAAATTTACAGATTGGTCTAAAAGTTGATCTGGGGTGCTTTCTGGAGCAGGGCATGTAATAGGGGCCAATACAGTATTCTAATTTGTAAGGATGGGACTTGAGAAGAACGTATGTAGCACTCTAGCAGACTAGTCTAAGGGGCTTTCTGCAGTCAGTGTGTTGATTAGCTCACATATGTTGCTCGCCAGGGGGATCAGCGAGACTGTCCTCGCCATCACTCATTAGATTCAGACGTTGTGTATCAGGGTGGTGAGGTAGCCCAGTGGTTAGGTTCACTAACCCGTGAAGATCCGGGGTAGATTACGTCTACAGCAACCCATGCTTGCTGTAAGAGGTGACTATGCTTGTCGTAAGAAGCCACTAACGGGATCGGGTGGTCAGGCTTGCTGACTTTGTTGGTTCATGTCATCTATCCCAATTGCATTGATCGATGCTCACAATGTCAATCACTGGATTGTCTGGTCCAGACTCAAAATATACAGGCCGCTAACATATGGCTGGAATATTTCTGAGTGTCGCGTTAAACAACAAACAAACAAACAAATTGTTCACTCATCACACTAATGGCCCAGTTTGATACCCACATGGTTACAGTGTGCAGGGCCATTTCTGGTGTCCCCTGCCATGTGCCTGGAATATTGCTAAATATTCAGCGAGGCATGAAGTCATACTTGCTCTCACTTGATGTTTCAGACCTGGATCCAGTGGCTTGTCCTCATCATGAGTTTTCTCTTCTTCTGGATGTTTGCGGTCATCTCTAATGCTATCTTCTTCACTTGGGACCATCCATCAAACCCCTACTGGGTGATGGAGAACACGATATCCACGCCCATCCACTCCTGTGTCGTCATCATTAGCTGTGTGGTAGCTCTCCTACCAAGGTACGTTTCGGGGCTTTCTCACGGATTAACTGTGTCAGTACTTTGTGGCATTAATTTTGTTTTGGGAAATAGGAATCCTGTAACATGAACTTGAAATTTCAAAGACAGACCATCTCCTGGGTCTAGTGTATAGGGCATCTTCCTGGAGAGCGGGAGGTCAGTGGTTTGATCTGGCCGTGTCACACCGAAAGATGTTAAAAGATGGTAATTGTTGTTACCCTGCCTGGCATTCAGCTCTTGGCTCGGCATTAGGGTACAAAAGAAGGACTGTCCTGCTTAGGAGTCAGAATATGCCTTAGTTTTTGGACTCTTCATAGTTTTCTTGCTAATCACAAGAACAACTGTAAAACATCTCACTTACTCATAAAAGACGACTTTGTCTTAAAAACAAGGCCATCATCTGAGTATTTACAATGTCTGTGTGACGCTACACCCCTTGCTATAGCGCAAGTAATCTTGATAAACATTGTCCTCCAAAGGCTTATGATGTCCGAAAACCTATGATCCGACGACACTATGTGTGAAAGGGGTATCCATGTTAAACTGCAGCATGGTATCTCAGTGGGCGAGCACTATGAAGCCGGCATAAGTCAGCACTAATGTAAGCTGCCACACACATACACTGTAAACGGTCATGGCACGGCACGGCACGGCACAAGTGAAAAAGTCTTAAGGACAGCGTTTGACCCAAATTCATCTCACTCTAATGGACAGGCAGTTCTGATCTACACCTCGCCTGCACCAACACATTGATCTCGAAGAGAGCTTGGTTACAATAGGTCCCCATCTCCCACATCAACAAGGGTGTTAGAGGCATCTAAGTTGGAGAGGATAGTCAGGTGCTAGGCAGATACCAGTGGTGTGGATCATTGCTAATGTTTTATGGTTTGCCTGATCCAGACCAGAGTGTTGAACATTTACTCTCTGAAAGTGTTTTGATGCTGCAGTCAACAAATTGACAACCAACGTTGAATCCTGTTCTTAGTGCTTCATGCTAAGTCTATGTTAAAGTATGGCAGTTAAGATCATTTTAGTGCTACTATTGTTGTAAGTATGTTAAAGTATGGCAATTACAATGGTCTTGGCACTAAGAGGTGAGGTGAGGTGAAATAGGGTTTAACGTCGCGTCCAAGATTATTGCACTTATATAGCGACGTGCATGCACGTGTATGTGTGTGTGTGTGGCTGCTTGTACTAGTCCGGACTGATGCTGATTTATAGTGCTAGCTCACTGAGATACCATGCCGCAGTTTAACATGAATACCCCACTCAGACACAGTATACTGACTCCGAGCCCACCAGTCTTTGTTTTAGCCCCTTAATGCCGAGCACCAGACAGGGTAACAACAAGTACCATCTCTTAACGCCTTTTGGTATGACGCGGTCGGGGATCGAACCCTGGACCTTCCGCTCTCCGGGCGGATGCTCTACCATTAGACCACGGAGACGGTCTCTTGGCACTAGGATCACTAACGAAACACACATGTGGATACTGACACACAATCAACCAAGTCATACATTGTATACATCCAATCCTTATGATGGTGCAAGTTGCGTCCCTTGAACATGCCAGAAACCTATGATTGTGGGTTCGAATCCTGGTTCGCCCGTTTCTAGGTTTGTCAGCACCATACCCGTACTCGTGGGTTTCACCAAAGTGGTAAACGTCTGAGACCTGCATCGCTTCGGGCTTTCCTCCCACATTAAGCTGACACCACGTGATATAACTGGAATATTGTTATAAGCGGCGTTAAACCCAACTCACTCACTCACTCACCTTATGATGGTTCTGGGGGCGCGGGTTGCCCAGTTGTCTGAGGCCCCGCAATTCGCTGTGCAGATTTGTATCCGTTGGGCACACCAGAAACCTGTGATCGTGGGTTCATTTCCCATTTCAACCTGTTATGTTTCTAGAGGTTTGGGTTTCACACCTGTGCTCATGGATTGCCCAAAGTGGTAAATGTCTCACTTCAGGCTTTCCTCCCACATCAAGCTGACACGCTGTGATATAACGGGAATACTGTCCAAGGCGGTGTTAATTCCATCTCACTCATTTATAGCAGGGAAGTTGTACTTCAGCATAAGACCAACTGGGTGCCGTTGTACAAAACAACCTTAGCGCTACGACTGTCGTAAGTCTATGTTATGGTATGGGAGTTACGATCACTTTAGCGCTGAGATCGTTTTGTGCAACGGCACCCAGTTAAGTTACTTTGGTCTGTGACTTTTTCTTTACTCATCATACTGTGCTTTCTTCCAGATTGTGCATCCGAGCTATACAAGCAACAGTCTACCCTAGCGTCATCATGAAAGTCAAACAGCTGGAGAAGGAGCTTATAGATTGTGACCAGCTGACCACAATCACCACGGAAACCACCATCAGCGCAGTTGGGGACAGCAAGCCTCCAGACTCTGCCCGTAATGGCGGTAACCCGCAGCTGAACAATCTAAGCGCCGACTACAGAGAGAGTGTGCGTCAGCGGCACAGGTTACCCTCTGACCAACGAGTGGATGGTATCAGCCCCGTACGGGCATAGCTGGTGATAGTCAGGCACAACAGACAGTGATGGGAGTGTTCACTTTAATCTTTGCAAGCCACAAGTCATTGTGTGGAATATGCCAATTGTTGTTTGGGTTCTACAGGACAATGAACATTTAAATGCCAAATACCTTATGTTGGAGAAATCCATTCAATGAAGGCTTGCCGTCATATAGCTGGAATATTGCTGAGTGCGGCGTAAAACAACAAACAAACCAAACCAAACCAAACCAATGAAGGCTCAGAACATAGGTTTGCATTTGGAATTTTTGAAGATTCTTATTTTTTTCAAAAGAATTTTTACAAGATCACTTGTAACCTGTCTCACATTATACACTGTTCGTTCAACAAATTGTTATCAATGGCCACCAATTTTTTATACCACATTCTAAAAGAATATGTTTTCCACGGCACTGGACACGGGTCATGTTTTCTATCTGTGATGTCACTTTTCTCACAAGAGCATTCAGTTCACAAGACCAGATGGGCAACATGTAGACTGGTCTGTGAAATCTTGTCTACATATCACTCGGGCAATTCATGGAGACGCTATTCTGAGGATTGGATATTCAGGATGTATCTCAATACTGTTGGACATGTTCTGTGCGGTTGTGTTGTTCTATGACACAGTCGACACAAGGCTCATATGATTCATCGACACAAGTGTAGAGTGTTCAGTCTGACAGCCTATCAACAGGCAGGCTAACCTGTCCGTAATGACTCCAATCTCAGGAACAGTGTTGTGGATATGTAATTACACATTTGTATGTTGTTTACAAAATATGTATATAATTATATTATTTTAGCAGATAAAGGAACCATGTCCAAGACATTCAGATTATATTTTGTATATATTGTATTATTCTGTAATATCTACACCAAAATATCTTACATTGCTTTCTACCTATTGGAAGCTGCTGATGGCCTGATGATTCACCATCATCATCACTTGCCCTCCACCAATGCAATGATCAGTGATGGCTATTGGGTTAGTTCAAGGGTAACTGGATATAATATGTGATGTTTATTTCAATGTTTAAACATATTTAATTTATTATTTATATGCTTATCAGTAACTTATATAAGATGTTGTTTAAGAAATAGTTTTATATTTCATGAAAAAGGAAGGTACTTTGGTGTGTAATTTCAGGATAAATATTTGTTTACTAGGAAAGTAATTGTATTTTTTTATACATCATATTTTATTTGTATTGTTTGCTAAAACTTCAGTTTTATTTTGAATGAACATTTATTGACCCGGATATGTTAAAAAATTATATTGGCCTATATTAAAGAAGAAGATGTGCAACATCTGAAACTTGGTATTTACCTAAAATAGACCTGGAGTAATATTATCCAAACAACTTATTCAGAATGTTGTTTGTATTTAGAAAGTGGCCAAATTCAAGATGGGCTGTGATGTAACTATCAAAACACTAATATGTAGAAACAGCAACATTCCTCAATTTATCATGTCTAATAGAGGGGGCTGGTTCTGCTTTGATGTCACTGTTAAATGCTCTCAAAGATGTTAGCTGTGATAACACAGTTTCAAGCCTGTGCCTACCTGCATTGTCCCAGCCTCCAGGCTAGCCAAGGGGGCCAAGTTTTAAGATCTCCATATGTATATTCGCGAATATAGCCCCAGGGTTATTTCTTACAGTAATTTCTTTGTAAACTCTCGGGAGGTTTGAGTTTTTAGCTTCCCAGTTAATTAAGAAGGAGAGGAAACGAGTGTGAACACACCAGCATTTGTTTGTTGGGTGTTTGTTTGCTTTCTTTATCAGTGTGACTTGAAACAGTCCAAAATCGGTATTGGTCCATCTATTGATATTTATCTCTCCTTCCTATAAATTAGGCAATTATTGTTTTATTTGTTGGATCATAATGTTTTCATAATTGGAGGGAAAATAATTGTCCAAATTTACACTTTTTTATTTACAGCTGACACGTCAAACACACAAATTTATTTTGAGCAGACGAAGGCACTAAAGATGTCAAATTCATTTTTTGGTAATTCTCTGATGTCGGATCTTTTAATTCTTCCCTTTTTTGACTTTAGACTTTGACAACAAAAAATCTGTGTTCCGACAACAAAATAAATAATGGCCATACCATGACATTGCTGCAGCTGTGTTTTTGGTTATGTTGTATTTGGTAATTTGGTTTTTATTTGTTATCATCATATTTATGGTTACCATACATTTCTGTAATTTACTGCTGTTATAAAGTGCTGAATTGATTGACTTAATTAAATCAGTATTACAAGATAAAACCATGCTACAAAGCAAGATCATACCTTTTACAAACATGTGATGATGGCAGAATTTGAGCAATAAATCAAATCTGAATTTGGTTGAACACCGATTAAACATTTCCTCTGTTAATACAACAAAATCCACTGCGGGTCTGTGTTGAATATTAAAGGGGATTATACACGTACCACTGATGAATGTATGAAGCTGTGCTGTGGCGCTATGCTACCAAAGGGGAGATAACCCATCTTATGGCTGAATAGTGCTCTTTTGTACATAAAACCATATATGTTTGTGTACTTGATTTGACATGTTGTGTTCATATTGTTAAAAGTATAGAGCAAGTTTTACACTCAATAATTTCTTCAAATTGAAAGATGTAAATCATTCTTCGGAAACTGTTTTGTATCAGACCATCTGAGTCAGAAACAAAACTACTAGTTGGGAACACCATTATTGTTCTAGAGTTAAGTCAGAAAATATCAAAATTGATGAGTTGTGATGAGTTTTTGGGTGACTAGATCCATATACAAGTTCGGGGTTGCAATTAAAGGTTGCTAAGGGTCATGCTTTTATTGTAAGGGACTGATTTCAGAATACCATGGTAATCCAGATTTCTCACATCCATGGGATTTGGCTATTGAGATAAGATATCCATGACTATGTGTGTTTTGTTGTTGTAATTTCTACCTGCAATGCTGATTGGCTTTTTTATTATTGGGGTGTCTGTACATACTTTGTGAAGCATGACTGTGTTAGAGACATTTGAGTAATTGTTCAATGGATACTGATTTTTTTCAGGATCTAAGAAAAGGTATATAAGACTGCTGAACCATGATATCCAACATGGTGATTTAGTTCCGGTTAATGCTGTAGTCCCATGAAAACTTTCAGTGCCTCTACCAATACTTCAGTCTAAGAGCTTTAAGTATGATTACTATAATACGTCATGATGTTCAATGCTATGTGAAACTCACCAGAGCTTGGTTTGCCTGTCATATGTCTACATTGTCGCCCCTTAAACTGTTGGGGGGCACGGGTGGCCCAGTCATCTAAGGCGCCGCGATTCACTGTGCAGAGTTGCGTCCCTTGGGCACGCCAGAAACCTATGATTGTGGGTTCGAATCCCGGTTTGCCCCGATTATGTTTCTAGGTTTGTCAGCACCATATCCGTGCTTGTGGGTTTCACTGAAGTGGTAATTGCTGAGACCTGCATCACTTCGGGCTTTCCTCCCACATTAAGCTGACACGCCACGATATAACTGGAATACTGTTAAAAGCGGCGTTAAACCCAACTCACTCACTCACTCACTTAAACTGTTGGGTCAGTGAAGTAGACACGAAGGCGTGAAGACACCTCAATTTCAATATGGCCACGAGGCAGCCACACGAGGCAGCCACACTGTGAATTCCACAGTCCCAGATGAATTCTGCAGTACAATTCCAAAATTCTGTGGCTAAAATTGCACAATTCTGCGATAAAAATATAACTATTTCTCCCTTAAAAACTTTTCATGTCTTGCATTTCAACATTTCAAGACATAAACTTATGCAAATAAATATGTATAGTGCCTCTGATATTTATTTTTGGTTAGATGTAAACACTGTTTACTTAGTCATAATACCACTAGAATGTTTGAAAGTGAGAATTATGTATTTAAATTTTGTTTTATAGTAGGATTCACATATTGTGTGTTAAATCACATGTTATATATTTGGGCATCATTTGAGTGCAAAATTCTTTGAAAGGCTTGAAAATAATGAAAATTAGTGTATTGAATGACCAAAAAAAAGACAAATTCTGTGATTTTTCTGCAATTCTGCAGTAATATCCATTTTCTGCAAATCTTTCCGCGATATCGGCATCGCAGAATTTGTCTGGGACTGATTCAACTTGGAGCAAGTCAAAACCATTTTAATCCTTGCAATATTCACACTTTACTCACTTCATGGCCTCTCTCAACTCCAGGTTGTGAACCATCTACATGAATGTACCGCCCAAAGTAGTCCAAGTCCGCTACAGGGCTATGTAGTTTTCTAAATGTTGCTGGGGAACCAAAATAATTCTAATGCAAAACCTCAAAGTCTGTCATAACAGATTAAGGGCAAACAATCAACTCATGCTGTACCCTGGCACAGTGAGTTTGTTTGTTGTTTAACAGCGCACTTGGACATATTCCAGCAAAGTAACACCAGTCTATAATTGATCAAATATGCACCAAACATTCCAGGGATTGTTGTGAGCATCAATCCACTGAGCCGGACCACCCGATCCATTTAGTCGCCTCTTACAACAAGCATAGGTTGCTGGGGACTTGTATCCTTACCTGGAATCCCACATGTTGATATTGCCAAATGTGCCCCTGACTTAAACAGTTTTCCCGTTTACTGGTAATTACCAGTTTTTTACAGGTAAAATTAGGCTTGGACCTATAAAGTACCTTATAAATCTTTGTTGTTGAACAAATCATCGGTAATATTCCCATAAGTATATTTTTGGAACGAAGTCAGCTTGTCTGTTACCATCAGTGTTTCCCTTGTCTATTTTTAGTGCATAGAAAGAACATTTCGCTTTTTCTTTGAGGTAATATTTGTAGTGACTTAGTCTCGAAATAATGAATTTTTTTTTTTTTAAATGTGACTGAATTTTGCAGGCATGACTTGTACATCTGACTAAATTAATTCAGAGATGAGGTCATTACACTGAATATGATGTTGAAATAATTAAAACCAGGTAATTTTCACATTTTTTATATATTTTGTTTGGAAGTCAGGACTGACAAAAATTAGGTGGAATACTGCTTACAGGATGCGAGACTCTGTACGAAGGGGGAAATATTTTACAACATTAAGCTGATATGACATGATGTAAATGACGTACTGCTTTAAGTGGTGCCAAGCAACTCACTTGCTCCAATTCTGTCTTTTATCACAAACAAATGAAGTTACCCTTCCCAATATGCGGTTTTCTCTGTGAACTGCATGCTTAAAAGTTTTCCCATGAAAAAAATTCAAATTGCAGAATTGTGAGAAATTATTCATTGGGTACAAGAATCATGAATTCTTTTATATATATTGTTTATTATTTCATATGTGTTTCATCTGTGTCATTTTCATAATTCCAATTGTTTTCACACACGTCACGTCTCTCCAATTTTTATGATAATTTCTTATTCTTTTCCTACAATTTACACCCAAAATATGCATTTTTTTATACGAGTTTTCATTGCATATCTCAATTTTGCTCAACAAACTTTTCGGTTGGTGTGACTTCAGATCATGATTTTTGACACAAATAGTGAAATATTGCCATGTTTTTCACGACTATTTGACCTATTTAACAATTGTTATGGGCCTATGTTACAGTGTAGCCATTGGGAGTTGCTAACATCGTAGTAATGGTAATGATAAATTGATATGGGGCCTAATATCCATCAGTAGGTGCTCAGAGTATATTGTCAATGCTTTGTGGAACAGTGAGTTTGTAGCAGCTAAGATCGCTTTGTGCAAGTCTACCCTGGGTTGTCAGGATGAAATAACAGTGCAGACTTTGAGATTTTAAAATCGATAATGTTTGAAGCTGAGATGACACATTTGTCTCTCCATACTTTATGACTCACGTGTTATGTGTACCCTTAATTATGGGCAATTAAATTCTGTAAAAATATATCTGTCGTACATAAACATATCAGGCTGTCAGCATAAACCACAAAATTTATCTTTCAACTCTTTTTTTTTCACCAAAATGATATTCTAATAAGAGCCCCCTATTTCTAATTTTGAGAGTGCCCTGGGCGCTTATTACATCGAATACGGTACTTGTTTTACACACCTGCATGTCCCAGTGCAGCCATCTTTTACAACTCTGTTGCTGAAGGTGTTCTCGGGCACCTGTATCGACTTTAGTTTAGTTTCCGTCTTCTACCTTGCACCATGTGGGTAAGAGATTGATTTGTCACACCATTTTGAAGAAAAAGTATGAGAACCAGGTATTTTGATCTTTAATGATTGTTTTGGAAGGGGAGTACTATACTATTGATTACTTGTGTCATGTTTGATAGTCTTGTCAATTATTTTCTCCGCTCATGTGCCCAAAGTTCGTCAACTAGCCATGAAGCGCCACAGTTCCATGACTTTCGGAAGTTTTACATGTGCTGATTTGAAAATTATTCCTACTGTTCTGAAATGACATAACACTCTGGAGTTTCATTATTAGTTGACAATTTGGGCATGTGAGTTAACTTTGAGTTAACACAAAGAGCATTATACTGCATGGACGTTATTGAGAGACTGCTTGGGGACCATCCATTGGATATTGAGAAGTTTTTTTAAAATAATTTCTTCCAAAATATGATGGAATATAATCATTTTTCCTCAGTTGTTACAAACATAACTATGGAACATACTGGTTACGCTGAAACAAAGTGTTGTGAAAAAAGAAATTTCATCTTTTTAAATAATGACTGAAAACAATATTCTGTCTCATATTAAATGGCTGGTCCCTTATCACAATACTATTTGATTTGAGGATGTACCACCGGGCACTGACATTCATTCAGGGTTATTGGCCACGGAGAGAGGAAAAAGTCGGACAATTTCATTATTACCCTATAATTTTATTAGAATTGGGAACATTCTTTTTTTCATTCTGTAGCTTTATTGTAAAACATTCTGTTGTCATATTACTACTCTTTTATTAGGGAGACAGAGATATTTCATAAATGTTAAAACATGAAAAAAGTGTTCATTCCGGGGCAATATTGATTACATGTACTACTTGTATGACAACATATCCAAGAGATTATGAAAATTCAGTCCCAATTGGAATAACAGGATGATCCCTTCAAATGTTGATTAATGAATGTGTGAATAATCAGACATGTCTGATAGAACTGTCCTTGTCCCAGCATTGCCATATCAAATAGGTTCTAAACAACACACAGGTTTTGTCACTACAGTTTCAGTGATTTCGTAGGTTTATCTGTTAACATTTACCTGGTAGTTTAGGAGTCACAATTTATATCAATTGTCATGTGATATTTGTATGAAGATAGATTTTTATACTATGTGCCTCAAGGCAGTGATGGAAATTAACCAAGGACGTTGTCTAGCCTGACGAGTAATAACATGTAAAAATATCCCCCAAAATGACTGAATTCTACGAGCCCTCCCATTATTTTTTAAACATGAGTGAGTGAGTATGGTTTTACGCTGCTTTTAGCAATATTCCAGCAATATCACGGCGGGAGACTCCAGACATGGGCTTCACACATTGTACCCATGTGGGGGTCAAACCTGGGCCTTGAGAGCGATGACACTTTAACCACAAGGCTACCCCACTGCCCCGAATTTAACATGAACAAAACTGGTCTGGGCTAGCGAGATAGTGCTAATTTCCAACCCTGCTCTTTGAAATTTATGTTTGTAAATACTGAAATTTGAAGAAATGTCTGTAAATATTTTCATATGATGATGGTTTGTTGTAATCAAATCTTATTTTCACGATGTGTCACATGTGATAAATTGTCTTACTTGTTGATCCAGGAAGCGTTACATTGAACACCTGTAGTCATGGCAATCAATATTTATTGTATTTTTACATCGCTCTAAACCATCTGTGAATATACCTTCATGTCGAGATATAGAGATTTGTACAGTTATTCACAAACTGAATCAAATACCCTGTGCTACAAGCTGCAGTCCTTGAATACTGTTGATTACAATCTTGGTACTCATGATTGAAGATTTCTAGTAGATTAGATATTGTAGAGATGTGCTTGTGCTTTCATCCATTTATACAAAACAGTGTGTGAATCAATTAGAACAGAAATATGTAATGGCGAGAATGTGACCAGGGTGTCTTTGTACAAAACAACCTTAGCACTGCAACTGTCATAGTCTATGTTAAGGTATGGGAGTTACGATCACCTTTGCGCTAAGATCGCTTTGTGGAACAGGGTGCTGTTGTACAAAACAACCTTAGCGCTATGACTGTCATAGTCTATGTTAAGGTATGGGAGTTACGATCACCTTAGCGCTAAGATCACTTTGTGGAACAGGGTGCTGTTGTACAAAACAACCTTAGCGCTATGACTGTCGTAAGTCTATGTTAAGGTATGGGAGTTCTGATCACCTTAGCGCTAAA